GATATATAGCACATTAAGAACTATTAGAAAAAGCAAGATATACCAAAAAATTGGGTAGGGGGCAACTTGTGATACACACATATAAATACTAGCTCTTTTTTTTTTTAGCAAAATGAAGCCTTCAAAGACATTACTATGGAAAATCAGCAATATAAATTACCAGTTATTGAGACAAAAAAGTAAAAGCCTCAAATAGATTTAACTTTTAAAGACCCCTAAGAACATTCTCAAAGGCTCCCAAGTACTAAGAAAAAAGTCTGTAAATCCTAAAATGTACATATGCATATTCAGATACTCATGCATACACACATACATGCATACCTACTCCAGTACAATGAAATGTTTACTTTAAACATAAGGCAGTACTGCAATCAAAAATCCCAAGTTACAAATATTACTTCAGAGGCACATGCTAAGAAATTAGTTAATATGGTTTGTATAATATAAAATAATATCTTAATGCTCTTACCCCAAACACCTTCAGCTAACGATTTATTCTGGTTTGGTTCTCTCTCATGTTCAGGATTCAGGGATGGCTAAAACAACAAATCCACAACTTGATTAGTTTTAAGTTCCATTAGAAACTGTCTTGTAGAAATCTCATTTTCCAGATTGCAAGAAGCATTATCAAAGAACTCTGAATCAGTAAGAGGAGGTAGTGAAACTAATCATACTAGTCAGGTGGAAAGTAGAACCATAGCGAAGCTATAATCTAATTGATATTATCTTGGCCTGCAAGGTAAACATCAAGTATGAGGATGGGACTACCACACTGAACTTAGTAACTTAATAACACTTAGTCTAATGGTAACATGGCTACGATTGGAGAGTATTTCCTTGAGAATGAGGTTGGATGACAAGACACAACTTCCAAGGAGATTATTTTTTGAAATTCTCTTAGAATGAAGGCACCTTGTGTTTAAAGAAAGGCAGTTATAGCAAGAACAGCTTTCTTCAAACAAAACCAAGAAGGTAAGTTGAGTGTTTCTGGGCTCTGGAGCAGGCAGAGTCCTACAAGTCCTTGGGTAGGAAGAAAGCTGGAGGCTTGCAAACTCCTTGCTTGCTGGATGGGAAGGAAGGAGGAGGCTTGCAAGCCCCAATTGATTCATCCCAGCAACAGCCAACTGGTTTCTCTTGGGTAGATGAATAGCTATAGGAACCCAGCAGGTTGGGATGGCGGGGGAGTGGGGGTGAGCACTGCAGTATCCCTGCAGTCGGTCATAAGAGTGAATGACTGCGGGGGTGCTACAGCATTTTAAGTTTGAAACCAGATTGTAAACAGCTTTTGGGCAGTTTAAGCGACCTGTCATAAGTCAAGGACTACCTGTAATATCTTCCCAATATTAAAAAAGCAACAGTAATTTCATGAAATGTTTTGAATAGTTTCCTTCTGCAAGTACCTGAATGCACTATGATAAACTTACAAAATCTTCAGCTTCAAATTGTTTGGGTTCTTCCTTGCCTGTCTTTTTCAGAGTCTCACATTCAGATGCTTTGTTTTCCTGTGACCCTTGGCTTTTACCAGACTGAAAGCTCCTGGTGCGAGCACGTGAACTTCCATTATGGTATCCTGCTCTATAGTTTAAATTTTCTGTTCCATTTCTGCCTTGTGAACGCCAACCATTTCTTTCTTTTCTTCCTGAATGCCCTTGAGTGAGATTTAAAAGATTAAGATCAAAATTACATGCCATGCTGAACAGAATTTATTACAGGAAAATGTAAGTGCAACATGTTAACTGAACATTTTAAACTAGTTCATGTTAATAACTGATTCTACTTTATTTCTATGAATTAAGCCTTTGGACAATATATATCACCCAATGACAACATGTAAATTTCCAGAAAGGAGCAAGAAACAATAAAAACATTTGTACAACCCTAATATAATAAGCACAATGTATCTACTGGTTTTAAGGTGTTGCAGAGGATTCAGAACTATGCTAACAATATTTCTTTATTCATATAAATTAAAACTTATATAGCTAATTTTTAGTACCTGTATAAATCCACTGTAATTGAAAATACATGATTTACAAAATAAATCTACTTAAATCTTGATTCTATGTAAATAATAACATATTTTGATGCCTTATTCAAAGACAAAAAATTACAGACCTCCATTTGAATGGCCACAACTAGGATCCAATCCATCAGAAGAGTTATGTCGTCTACGATTAACTTCATAACGATTTTCTGTCCATGAAAAGGTGCTGGAATGTTTCTCAAAATTCAATGATGACTAAAGATGAAAACAAAAATTATACGCTGTTTGTATCAGCAGTACAAATTAATCAACACACTATTATGTAAATTTGATGAAGACTATAATCTTGTTTCAATAGCTAAATACTGTACTCTAATGCAATCTCATCCTTATCGTATAAGCCCTCTCACATTAAAGAAGAAAGATAAGCTATACTATATATACTACATTCATTCTAATATTCAGAATAACAGAGTTGGAAGGGACCTTGAAGGTCTTCTAGAGTTATGAGCATGCACATTGAAACCTATACAGAAAACTAAGCCACTCATTATTCTTCCTAGATTTTTCTGGTTAAATCCTTTGTAGAACATTTAGTCAGTCAAGGATATGATATTATTCAAATTTTCTAAAACTGTTGGTACTACAGTCTATCGTTTCAGCACATGGTGGAGCTAGTGTTCTATTAATCTTGATACTGCAATCAAAGAAAGTTGCTGCTAGTTTTATCGATTTATTAAACTGTTTCAAGCTGTAGATCTCTGGACTATTGTGAGGTGGGAAAACCTTGATACCAGGAATTAAAGTACACATGTATTCTATCTTGTTAATAAAATCAAGATAACATTTTACCTCAAAAAAGAAATGGCATTCATAAAATTTAAAAAGTACCATGTAAATTGTCTTTCAACTTATTTCCCTCTTGTTTCTTGTATTCCTCCATACCCAGTGAAATTTTGCACCAAAAATAACATTTTTATTTGCCAGTTATAAGAAATATTAACACTGAATATAAAATATTTCAGTTATAATAATAACAGTTCACCACAAAATTGATGCTAAGAACCCAAATTCAAAATAGTGGTTAAAGTGGATGTTATTAAAAAATAAGAATTGAAATCTAGATTCCTATTTCAAAATGTGTATCAAATACATTTGTAAGGATAAGTATTTGAAAAAACACTAAAACATTTAAATTGTAGTTTTTATGCTGTTTAGCTTAGGGATTTTTTTTTAAAAAAAATAGGATGGGCAGAATTCCCACATTGTACAAAACATCTGGGTTAAAATTCTTTCTTTACTCAGTCCCTCAGTACTTCCTTCAAAACCTGTTCTGGATGCTGTAGTGCCTACCATTGAAAAAAAAAAGGGAAAGGGAAATTTTCCTACATTAGTAATTTAATAAATAGCACAAATAACCTTTGATGGTGGTGGTGGAGTAGGAAAATTAAGCCAGGCTGGAGCAAAGTCATGCTGCGCCATTTAGGTCCAGTCTCCCAATCAATGAAACAAGGCTTCAACACCTCATGACAATACCTGTAAAAAAAAAAAAAAAAAGGTCGTAAGTTTTTAAATATGACATCTTTTAATCCTGGGACAATTAATTTAACAGATTTTTTTTTAAAAAAAACTAGAAATACAGGTAAAGAACACAAATGCATAATACGCTTTGCATTGCATATTTGGAAAGAATATTTAATGGACAGCACAAAGAGATCTCATATTTTGAACAAAGAACTTTTAAATGTCAACAATTTTAAGTGACATTATGAAAGTTCACATTTTATCTAATTAAAAAAGATTTATATTAGCATCCTAAGATGATGTTTGAAAGAGAAAATGTTTCCTGTACAAATGCTTTAATCAGAACCTCCCACTATGCAAGTGGAAGAGAGAAGAAGCTTACATCTTCAATTCTGAAAGATTTTAAAAACTGGAAACAAGTTCTCAATACAATTATTTGCACCTCACTAATGAGATTTATTTTGAATCAACATGTAGAGACCACAGTATTAATTGCATAGCCTGTGGTGAGATGGGCAGCAAATAAATTTAATTAATAAATAAAGGCCATTCACAATTAATATAATAAATAGAAGATAATCCTGGCGCTATAAATTGGGTGAGGAAAACACAAAAATATCCATCTTGAATTCCTGCAGGAAACGAAAGATATAAATTTAACTAAAAATAATAATCAAACCATTTCCATATTTTTGACAAGAAAAATTTGTGCCCACAGATACTAAGAGTTGAAATCAACAGAGACTTTGCCTTAACTGGGCATAACTTGAGGGTTCTGATCACAGAAGATAAAAATGTCATACAGTAAATGCATCACTGATTTATCCTCACCCATTCAAGTCTGAAAGTTTTGAGCACTTTAAATAATCGGTTCTGATTATATGTACATGTTGGTACTTTAAAAATTATTGTAAATCCTTCCCAAAACAAGCAATAAAGTATTGTTGAAGGATTCATAAAAATAAACTAAAATTATCTCATCAGTTATTGTGCAATGTAGATTAAGTACATCTGGACTTCAAAGCACAAGTAGACTTATTAATATTAATGTTATTTAATTATAACATTAAAGTGAAGTAAATATTATAACTTTTTTTTAAATCAATAAACCCTAATTTTTTATGTCTAATTTAAGAAAACTAGCCTAGCAAACATAAGAAGAGAAAAAAAATATTTGTTGAGGAAAAAAGACTTCAGTCAAATGATTTTCTAAAAAACATTTATCTCTTATTTTGCCCAGATTTTTATCCAGGTTTTCTGTAAGAATAGTTTCATAGGCATACACACCAAATGCAAAATAGATCCAATCATATTCACAATATTTATTCTGCAACACTTTCTAGCAAACTGCTTTCTTTTTTCTTTCCTTCTTTTTCCTTCCTTTTTTTCCTTCCTTCCTTCCTTCCTTCTTTCCTTCCTTCCTTCCTTCCCTCCCTTCTTTCTGCTATAGAAAATGCCAGTACTATTTATATTACAATGCCCTCTTCTACTTACTGAAATATAGACAAGAATAATGCAGACATAAAAGACTGACATGAAACATCAAGCAGTTTTTATTGTTTCAAGCACTGGTTCTTCATTTGACACACATCTATGGCAATCATGAAAGAGATTTCCCCTCCTCAAGAATATTTCCCAACAAAGCTGAAAAGATAGCAGGCTATTATAAAACATTGTTAAGTAATTTTAAAAGAATGAATAGAGAAACTGCAAAGCAGGATATCGGATAGATAAAATTCTACTAAAGATAATGGATATAATTTGTTTCATAACCCCAGCTTGACAGTTTTGTTTACAAGCTCTGGCAATTAATACTGAAGCTACCAAATGAGAACACGTTTTCTCCTTGCCCTAACAATTGGCAAAAGCATGTTATTTCTTTCAGCTCTATGCTCGCTGAACATAAGCAGAAAGGCAAAACAAACTATAACTTCTGAACTTAAGAAAGTTGGAGGCATATTTTTCTGTGTGCCTGCCCTGTTCCTTCTTTCCCTTTCTGATAGGGACCAGTGAATTTCTTAGCACTTCCTAATTGGTTGACATGCCAACTCCCCAACTAGGTATATGTTGCTCCCAAGTTAGAGAACACAGAATAGCTTTTTTTCAACAATGTGCTGAATTTCTAATATGTTTGGGAAACTAATGGAATGATCTCCAAAGCTGTCTAAATACATCAACCCTATTCATAATTCCACACAAAAACATAAGAGCCAATATTTTGACAATCATCTTTGTTAATATTTTAGCAGTGTTCATGAAATAAATAAAAATGTGTGGTGGTTTTCATTTTCTCTCGCAACCTTTGTAATATCTAAAGGTGCAATGATTTGGAATTAAGTGATTTTTCTTTTCTTGCAGGGAGGAGAGGGATTCTGTCCAGCAAACTCCCCTTCCGATTCAGTGACCTGAGCATGGTGAAAGAGAGGAATTCTCTTTAATGGCAGATCACTTCTGCTTTTCTATCTGTGAACAAAAAAAATTGTTCTTCTCCAGCACTGGAGATGGAGGATCCACCCGTGGGTTGTGACTGTATTCCTGCCCTATCAGATCAAGTCAGCCAAAGTTGTCACGCCCTGTCCTTGGACCTATGCCCAGTCTTGACTTGATCTTGCCCAAGGACAGGACGTACAACTCTGGCTCTTAGGTACAGTCTGACTCATTAGTAGGTTCCTCCATCTCCAATATAATTAGAGGTTTATAAAAAAAATTTCAGTTCTCCTGTCAGCTCTACAGTGGGGGGGGATTTCTTGGGAGACAGAAGGGGGTCCCTTCTTTCTCCCCTCCCTCCAGGAGCTCACAGGGCAGAACTACTAAATTGGAAATTTGGACTCCAAATTACTTCAGTGCTTTGTGACTCCAAATTGCACACACGATTAGAGTTAGAGGCAACGGCTCCGTTTTCGGCAGGGAGTGACGAAGATTTAAAGCTGTCAGCTCCCTCCATTTGTCTCTCGCTCTCTCGGTTTCCTCTCTCCGCAGTCAGTTGCGGCCAGAAAAGCCGTTCGACTTTTCTCCGAACTCGACGATTGGCCTCTTGTGACGGGGATTGCGGCTGCGTCCCCGGGGAGGCCAATTTCTAAGGAGGACGTCCGAGGAAGCCGATCGGCTGATTGCTTCCTCGGCGAGTGCTTTTTGGAGACGGGGATTGCGGCTGCATCCCCAGGAAGGCCGTTTCTCTCGGAAACCGCGCGGTTTTCCGTTGGCGGCTGCGGCGCTCCGAAGGAAGCGAGTCACAGGCCGATTGACACTGTGCTCGTTTTTTTCGGCCGTATTTTCGGAGCGGTCAGCCGGTCAGCCGGTTAGCGGCTGATTGCGGTGAGGCCCACAGCCGCCTTGCCCATAGTTGGCTTCTGGTGCTCCCAACTAAAAAAAGCTGACAGTTGGTCTTTTTGGCGCGGCCGCCATTTTGAAGCAGGGATGTTATCCCAGGCACTGTGGTCGAGGGACCAGAATTTATAGTGACTTAGTGCTTTCTGATCACCTTCATTTGGGGGATTAAGATTCTGAGGAGAAGACAGTCTCCAGAAGGAGCACTTGATTGGAAACTTAGGTGGCACACTTGATCCCCTCAGGACAGGCCACCATTTTACGAGCGGCGGCCATTTTGTGACCAGGGTCCTATCCCTCCTTACATAGACTTATACTTACAGCTCCCTTAGGCCGCTTCAGCAAGCCCCTATTTTCATAGCTTGGTGGCTCCTTGGTCTCAATAATAATTGGATAAACTGCAGCCATTTTTTTGTGCTGCGTGCTAATTTCAGCACTCACTGGAAATTGTGGGCGTGCGTTGGTTTTCACTGATCAGTACTGCCAGTGATTCAGGGACTTACGGTGACCCCTCAGAGCACCGGTCCTTCTCTGTGACACGTTTTCCACGGGCACCAGGCATTCCCATAGCGTGTCTGTCGCTGCCTGTGATTGCAGCTGTACCCGGGTCCCAGGCGTCCTCTGGAATTGCGTCTGGTCGCACCCAAGGTGGTAATTCCCTCTAGATACCGGGGGACCCCACTCGAGCCCCTGCGCTATCGGAGGATGGAACGTACGGAGCCCCTTGAGAAGGAGGTCGTGTCCCCTTCATTGGCTAGCATGAGTTCTATGCCATCTCATCCAGACGGATCTGAAAGGGCTGCACAAAATTCCAAGCCAAAACCTGCAAAAAAATCATCCAAAGGGGCAGATAAGCACGCCACCAGGAGACACCAAGCTCTGGAAAAGGAGTTCTCTAGGGCACAGAAAATGGCTCGACTAGACAATCCTCAGATTGGGGGGCGGGAGCAAGAGTCCCAGATTCCACTTAATCAGTCGTTCCAGGGTAGGCCAGAGGCCACCTTTACCCCTACAGCGGCTGGTCTTCGCCAGACCGAACAGCTCCCTTTTCCTTCAGAGGAGCGATTGTCCATGTTAATTGCTCAGGCAGTGGACCGCGCTCTGAACGCTAGGGCAGTTCCTAAGCCGCCAGTCATAGTTCCCCCACCTATCTGTCAACAGTCAGAAGAGCCCCAATCCGGCCCTTCCTCTCCGGCTGAATCCTGTTATTCTGAGGGTTTGTCGCTACCTGATCAGGGCTCTGACCAGGAATTTCCAATGTCTGAGGAGGAGGAACAGTCGGCGGACGCTCCGACGCCCACTGGCATGTTTCACCCTTCAGCGTTTGTTACGTTGCTCCGCAAGGTCTCTTCCACCGCACACCGTGGGTCTGAGCCCCCTTCCACAACAACTGCCGTTGCTCCTGATTCGGACCTTGATCCAAATTTCATTGAACCGGTGGCAGCTCAGCACCGGATCCCATGCCCGCCCATGTTCCTAACTGCGGTTAAGAAACAATGGGCGCTACCTGCCTCCTTTCCCCTTCCGAGTTCCACGGACAAGAAACTGTTCAACGTGGCCAAGGAACTGGAGGATGCGCTGGAGGTCCCTGCGGTGGACGAGCCTTTCGGACCGTTGATCTCACCAACGGCCATAGCGGGGGATGTGTCGGAAGCTTTGAAGTCAGAGGATCGTAAGTGCGAGTT